AGAAAATGCAGCAAATTGCTAGGATATCGCAGCAATACACCGATGTACTGAGTGTCATATTGTGACTCACCCATCAACCACGGCGACTTCTTTGCTTTCGTAGAAACCTGCCACCGGCATGACATTAGCATCGACCGTGCCGTAGAAGCCTGTTGCTGGGATGACGTCAGCATCGCCTGTGCCGTTGAAACTGGGACGGCTTGCACCAAGCTCAGTTTTCTCCTTACACTTTGTCGCATGCTGCAAAACAGCCCCGGTACTGTGCAATGCCTGTAAACATGAAGTACAGGGAACTTCGTTTAAACACCGTTTACTGGCACTCTGATCATTCCAGTGAATAATACGTAAAGACAATGCTGTCTTTATGACTACCATGAAAAGGGCCATAGATTCATCAGCATTTATTGACAATTGCATTACAAGAGAGAATGCTGCTCGTGGCAGCTCAATGGGCAGTGCGATCGATTGGAAGACTGTGACGGTAGTCCATTTGGGCACCGTGGTGCAAGGCGCAGTACTTAACAGTACTTTCCCGCACCACTTTGTCCCCAAAGAAGTGTCCCTGATATGTCGTCTTGTGTTGCACCACGGAAAATTTGGCAATAAGGCTTAAAAGCCGAGTATCAGCGTGTCGTCTCGTTCACGTCGCGAATGTTTTGAATCGTTTCGTTTCTACACATACGTATACTACCTAATGTACACATGCAATGTAGTGTAGTACAAGCAATGCATTCAACGCCCTGGGGCCCACCTTGCCAGCGTGATGTGACTGTGACCAACATGCAGGCAGCATTTACTGCACATGGTGAAGTTCCAAACGCGATGTCATTATGTTTGTGTCTTGCATGACATGGAATCATGCACACATGTACTTTACGTGGAACGAAATTTAACATACGCAGAGTCAGCGGACAACAATCGAAGACATGCCAAGAGCGTTAATGATGGGTCAGTGACAATTTGGCAAGATATTCTGGCAAAAGAATCGGAACCTGTCACAACTGAACAAAAGCGCCTCCCTGCAACTCGTGGTAGGGTTGACTTATACACTGTGAACTTAGGCCACCTGCCTCGGGCCCTTTCGCCTGTGGGCAAGCGAGGCGGCGGCAGCGTGCAGGGCAAGGAACCACGCTTCTCTTGGAGAGAACAGGTGCGTTCGCCATTCTCGTTGCCAGAAATCAGGGCCTGAATGGCCAAACACGTTACGGAGGATCGGGGGGTGAAGAGTTTGGCGCAGGCGAGGGGAGCACAATGCTCATGCACTGACGCCATAAACCCCTTCGCTTTTGTGCTGATCTCCCAGCCTACTCATAGTTGTCTTTGCTGAGGTTTCGCCACTCGGGATCTAATGCGAATTGGGTTGCGGATGCTGGCGCTGCCGCAAGCCCGATCTCGAAGCACAGCCACGACCATGCGCAAGATCCTTGCCAGCGCTTTCGCCTTGAAAAGCGCGTGCAGCCACCCCACCCCCAAAAAACCCTCCTTGGCGCGTTCCTGAACTTCGAAACTTCTGCTGCGACTCTTGCGTGTTGCGCTCATCCAGCCTCGCAATTGGCCACAGTTGTGTGGTTGTAGCACCAGCTTCATGGGCGCAAGGCAAGGCAGCTAGCCAAGGCCCCTCTGCAAGGATTTCAGGTGGAATCCGCCCACAACCGCGTGCCAAGAACGTCACCAAATGGTGCCGCTACAATCAGGGCGTCCCTGTCCACCGCCTGGTCCTGCCACCAGTCCTGCCCGTCACGAGCTGTGACAAATGACGGCTATCGCACTTTTCCGGCAGGCGATATGGCTACGACTCTTTTGCCAGAATTTCTTTTGCCAAAATGTCACTCACCCATTAATGAACATCTTCATTGATTGCTCACCTTAAACTGCGCATGATTGATCTCTTGGACTGCTTCGATGGTCTTGAAAACTCTGCAGCACAACGAATAGAAACAATTAGTATTAAAAAATCAACAAATAAATATATACTTCCTCCGTCTGGAGTTAATTGTCCTCTATGACTTTGGTGCATTAGTTATCTATCATAGAAACTTCATTTCCTACAAAGTGAAATTTCCTACAAAGCTGGGCCTATGTTTTAGGAATATGCAGTCAAAATTTCAAGTCAATCCATTAAGTATTGCGGATTTGGCAGGACTTTGTAGGAAGGGTCACCCAGCCAGAAACCCACCCGTTGTTCAACATCCCTGCTGGAATGGCCATTTTTGGTGTTTGAGAAGCACGCCTTTGTGGCAGCACTACAGAGCCGCCCGGGCAAAACTATCCACGCCATTTGGACAGAAGATCGTGGAGGTACTTGCAAAGGAGAAAGGCAACAGCATCTTGAAAGTCCTGATCATGGAAGTCGCCATGTCTTGCGGCTGCAATTCAAGCTCGATTAGCCGAATCAGAGATGCCCATCTAGTCAAGATTTCTGGACCACGACTTTTGGACCTCCAACTCCATTGTGAGGGGTATTGCAGGAGGCCTCCCAGGTTCCTCACAGACGCCTTAGGAAGGTGGTGGCCATCACCCCATTCAGTGGCGAACAACTAGGGGCCAATTAGGCAGTGGGGCCCCTGGACGGAAATGGTGAATCGACCAGTTTTCGCCCCTTGAAGGGTTTGAGCTTCAGAAGACTAGCCGGATGGATAAAACTATATCTATCCAAGGGAAACGCACTTGCTGGGTTGCGATGGATTGTGGACTACATGCAAGAGTTGGCAGATCATGGCAATTTGTGAGGTGTGGGCCAGGCTGCCCACAAAAGCAACGATTCAAGCCTCAATCCAGGCAGATTGTCCAAGCAAGTCTATTACATAACCTTGGAACGACAGCTCGCACATAGCCCAAGCTTGAGTCCCTTGGACCCTAGCCTGTCCGCTTGCTTTACCTCCACACGTCAAAGATCGAGGATGGCTGAGATTTTAGAAATCGTCAACACTGCGACGATGGCCTTCCACGAATGGGGACCCAAACACGCTTAAGCGTGTTTGGCAAGCACTATTCCACGTAAGGGATGCCGCCCTTCACTGCGAAGGCAGCAACGACTTATCTTTGGCACACCTAGGATGGGAGTGACCCAGAATCGTGGGGGTCCCTAGTGGATGCGGAATGAGCATGGACGAATTTTGTAAATTCAAGGTGTCCTTTGCAACGAAATTTGTCTCTCAAATAGAGGACAATTAATACCGGACGGAGGAAGTAGTCATTAAAATACACAATCAACAAAGATCGTGATAGTATGAAGCAGTGAAGAATTGTTAATCAGAATTGGGCAACATTATCAATCAAACACAATCTGTGCTGAACTCAATCCGGCCCAAGCAAGAACAAGATCTGTATTTTGTACTTAGGCTTTGCACTATAAGGGACCAATGTGTCGTTGGATAGTGACCACATTCCGCATGGAACATAGAACAGAATCACACATGGCATCATCGACTCGTAGTAATTGTGTGTTGGTAGCACATGCAACAGCATGTGCAACAGACAATAAATACAAAAACAAACAATAAACATATTGCTGGGGGCACGCCTGGCCCACAATTTTGCCAAACCCCGCGCCAATGCCACCAGTGCCGTTCATTGAACTGATATTATTTTGGTATTATCTACTCATCGACGAATATTACTCTGACAAAACAACATCAGTACAAAGTGCTGGAACTGCAGGAACAAACTACAAGAGTTTTTAATTTTCCTACAGGTATCCTCGTTCAAAAACGAAAATACGAAGCCAATCCAATCCAGTGACTCGTACCCAGATGCCCTGCGCTTGCTGTCTTCCATCATGTGCCGGAGCGACTCTGCTGCCTCCGTGCGCCCCTCATGTAAGCACCGATCGATCATAATGACTAATATAGATTTTTTAATCTCCAGTCTGAAGGGGTCCATGTTGGAGCGCTTGAACCATCTGCTGGACAAAAAGTACTTGAAGGTGTGGTCCCCTATGCGCAGCGAAACATGTTCATAAGTAACTTAAAGATCGAATCGGCAACGGTGGCTGTTCGTGTTGACATAGTCATATAGAATACTATTGTTGTTTAATATATGTTGTCATTAACTATCATAATAATTATGATATTTGAAGAACGGCACATTTTTGCTTGGCTAGAGTGCTAAGCCACCAGTAAATTTGCTTGATGTGGTCGACCATCGATCAATTCATGTAAAATGACGTCACTAGTAATCAGCTAATGGTCAACTATATGTCGGTACAACAACTGCAATGTGTACTTTAAGCTAAATGTCAATTGATGATTTTCACAATGTGTATTGTAGCAAACAGTCAAATTGGTTAATTACATATGTACATTACAAAGTATCAATTTGGTGCAACTTTAGGCAGTGTCAATGGGAGAATGCACGGCAATACACAACAAGCAAATGAGTCCCCTACAAGGATTCAATACCAACATCCTGCCAGGCATAGTCCATAAAAGTCCTAGTACTCAGTAGTATTTATATCAGTCCAGTATTCTGCTGCGCAAAATTTTGCCAGAAGAACGCCAAGCAAATACTCACGCTGCAGCTGGTCAAGACGGTCAACGTTGATCGCCCGTGGGGCAGCGTGCATAAAGTACTCCGTGTACATAAGGAGAAACAGGCCGCAGTCGCAGTGGTTGTCCTGCTGAGGCACTTCCACGCGCTTTACCTGGAATTCCACCAACGGATCCCCAGAGTCTGGGTGCTGTTACCACAAGCACAGCGCTACAGCGTTACAGTGTAACAGAAGAACAAATTGGTCTCATTCGAAAAGAAGGGATCGAATTGAATTGGTTTTGCCTTGCGCAACATGCACAACAGCCCATAAATGACAAAGGAATTAAATTTTTACCATCCTATTATATGTGCACGTACAATGCATGCATTACAATATTTCCTTCATTGAGCATGACTTTTTTGTCCAGGGGATCAGAATCTTCATTATACACTAAACTGTCAAGTGCACAATTCACAACTGCACAGCCCCACAATGCTGAAAAGGAAAATGAACAAGATGAGCAGGACAATCAGATCAGTCCATTGTCAACGTGATTCTACAACATCGATATGCAGCGATTCATCATGACGTAACCTGTTAACTCAAAAATTACCCAATTATGACAATTCTCAAACGCGCATGCACTAGCAAAAAAAGGACCAAATAACACTTTTGTGAACACACATAAGACACATTTCATCAAAGTTGCGCACGCTGAGAGCACAAAAACAACCCAAACCTGTAAACTTTGTGCACGTTTGAACACGTGTTATTTGGACCTCTTTTTCCTAGTGATGTTTGAGAATTTGCCAATTTCCGATGGTGCCAATGCACAGGCAACTGTAACTGCAATTGTGCCAATTGTTCTTCCCCTATTGCAAGTTCAGCACGCACCTGCCTGTCTCAAAGCCACACGTGATCAAATCGAACCTCAAATCATGGAAAACACGCACGTTCCTGAACAGACGTCGATCATCTGGCAGCAGACCTTAATTCCATAAGAGACGACTGCCAAGGCCAGTGCATCGCCTTCGCGTTGCTGTAACTGATGAGTCTATTCGTTCAGTAATTTCCCCCAGCGTTAGAAGACAAGACGCCCACCTTTTGCAGCCAGTCGCACTCCAGAAACTTTCGCACGCGTGCGCAGACAGCACTGCTGCGATGGCCACCTGCAAAGCGATGCGCAAGAATAGCCCCTTTTCAAATATTACTCCACTGTTAAACCGAGTTTCTTGTTGAAACGTAACGGGCGTTTCTTTTGGTACAAAGAACGCTGCCAAGTGCGGCCAGCAGTCTTCATGTGCAACTCCCTTCATGCATACGGACTGCCACTACAGTGGTCTAGCAACACACATGGCAGCACATTTGCCCTACGTTTTATTCAAAGGAACAAACACAGCACTGCTTTCCTATCTAAACCCCCTTTGCACCTATCCCTAGTTCTCTCTTCCAATTCCCCTACTTCTATTTACCCTACTCCCCACAAAAAGGGCCTGCGACGGGGTACAATTTTGTGGGCCCACGACGACATGTTCGATCGCATCAAACTGCAGCCCTTCGCATATCAACAGTGTGCCGCACGTTGGAAGGGGACTGAACAATGCTGAATGCTGAGCGCTCACATTCAATAAAACTCACCGGCACATTCAGTTGACAACCAAATACGAAAATAATCGCCCCAAGGATGCAGCTGGTGTTCAGGCGGTGCCAAATCGCCCTATCATCGCCCTGTTTTGGTGCAATACTTGATCATTTTTGGCGCCATTTGAATAGGCCCTTCTGACGATCGCACCTCGCAGGGAGTCCAGGTGCAGGATGCAGGGTGTCCTTTTCTCGCGCCCATCCTCTGCATCGTCCTCTGGCGGAGCGAATGCTGCTGAAGGGTGGCACACGACGGCGAGGCTCCAATGCAGCGCCTCGTGGATGGGCACGAACAAATAATCCTTGGAGAACAGGTCGACCTTGAGGACGGGAACAGGCGCAGTGAGTGGACTTTCCTTCTCCATTGCCAAATTGCTGTAACCATCACATAATCTGGTGCACAGTTCACGAACTATCAACAGTAGTTATTACCGACATCAAACATGTGACAATTATCTCCTACTGGTAGTTTGATGCCTGATCTATATCGTATTTATTAATGTCGAGTGCCATATTGTTGTGCCCAACTTCATCGCAATCAGGAGTTGAGGCGAATGTGATTTCCACACCTTGATCAATGAGCATTGGTGAATGATGGCAATAAAGGAATGCATGCTTAGGAACAAACAACTTGGTGATTGCAGTTCACTCTATCAAAAGCTTCTAATAGATGCAGTTGGGAAACCTTGTATTGAGTAGCCAGTTTGCAGCACAAAACATCACATATATGAAAGTAGAGCACATGCAGGGACAATGTCTTGCATGTGTCCATAGCCCCTTTCAAATTCACTCAAGTAACTACACTCTAAAGAGCGATCAGGAACGGACCAAGGTTTGGTCCCAACTGTTACCGTTTGGGCCATGTTTTAGAAGTTGCCGCAGTCAGGGTTGAATCGCAGCTGCAAGCCACTGACCTTGGTCCAATTTCTCACGCGCTCATACCCTGGGCACTTCTTGTTTGCCTCAAACAGGTTTCCGGCTGCCTCTGCAAGCTGTTTATAGAAGAAGCTATTGAAGACGTGGAACCTGGACTTCTCAGCAGGTGGAAGGCCGTTGTACAGGCGTCTGTGTCCAAAGAACAGCAAGGTATCACTTTTTATCAGCCTTGGGCTGTAAAACTTTGGAGGCATTTGGTGGAAAGCGACAAAGCCCTGCCCTTCCCTCTGCATTGCGACGTTCAGGATGACTTCGCGTGCACACTGTCCTAATTAATAAGACCTAACTAGTTTTATTATAATCAAACTTCCATAAAGTACAATCCAACGCCAACACACAAAACAAAACCCGCTTGTAAACCAACGATTGTGCAGCATGCACCCCACATGATTCTCAACGATTGCATTGCCAAACACACCTAGACACCTACTTTCTGTGAACAAAAGGTACTTTGACACCTGGCTTATTAACAAAGCAACTTGGCACCAATTTGTTGCAATCGAAGAGGCAATGTGGCGCTCACTTTGTGTAGTAATCGATAATTGTATCATTGAGGAATTCCAAAGGCTCCAGACGCTCCAGGTCCTCCATTCCGATGTCCACGGCACCAATCCCGCCTTCCGGCGGGTACACCGCCTTGACATCCTGCCGCCAATGCAATATACATTGCCCTTTCAGTCAAATGTGCTACCTCTTCAATACTTTGGCACTGCAAGAAGCATCTCATCTGTCAGGTACTGTTTGGCATAGTATTGTGTAGCTGCACAGGAGAAAACAGACAAGTCCCCACAAAATGTTGCATCCATCCAGGTCTGCGCAAGAAAATTCAAAAACTGTATGAATTGGAATCCAATTGTGCACAGTTCTGAAATGACCTTGCAGGTCAAAGAAGGCCTGCATTCAGCTGTGTTTGGGTGTGCTGGTCCACCAACCATGTTTCGTCAAGCACCTCTGCCAACTCCTAAGAAATGGCATCAGCAGCGCCCAACGAGCAGATAAAGAAACAAAGCAGTTCCTCATAACGCTTTTGATTCATTTACCGAATTCAGGACTCAATCTGGCAGTTTTCTCTCCTTTTCTAAACATTTTCATTTCTTTCTTTGCCCCCTCCATCTCGTTTGATGGGTGACAACACCTCTTGGGTGCTACTAAGTCTTATAACGTAGCACCCGTACTTGCTGGAGTCAGAATAGGGGGTCCAGCCCTGGCAGCCCCCAAATGCTGTTACACACAACTCTAGGTAATTTACATGTGGGTGCAAATGTACGGAGTGCAGCATGGACAAGCATCATCAGTAATTTGGCAGAGGTTCACTCAGACTGTCTGAATGTGGAATGGAACCATTAGCACCTATCAATATTTGTGCCAGGTTTTCAGCACTGTGCAAGTCATGCACGGGGAATGGGACAGAGCCCAATCCCTGCATTGCTGTGCAAACTACATCATTCACCACACACCACAACACCCTGCCTGCAGTTATACTTATTTGTTTATGACTATTACACAGACAATAATTTCAAAGTGCAAAAGCTACCACTGAAAAGAGAAAAAACAGCTGCAGTGGCTGTGTGCACTGACCTGCAGGTCGCCCATGCAACTTGCTTTCAGTCGATTGCTTCGCGTGTAATGATGGGATGTACCCCTTCCTGGGGACAAATGAGCAGCATCCCTAATGGCCCCCTGTCCAGTTTTGCCATTTGCAGCAGTTTCCTGTTCTCTGTTGTCATCGTCATCGCTCAGCGTGAGGTCAACATGATCATCTGAAGCCTGCTTTGGTGTGTCCCGCCAATTCCGGTTCGCACAGAATCTCATTGATGAGTCCATGCCTGCCTGCGCAGAGTGACACAAGGACAATTGTCTTTTTCTTGCATTATTCTTCCCTCAATTCAATTGCTCAATTTTTTCCACCATTCGTATTGAATGTGTCATTCTTTCCATGTGCCATCATCAAGCTGCCTCTTCCATCCAGATTACAAGTCAGAGCGCGAGCATGGGAGTGTGAGTGTGTGAATGTGCAGAGCTGATAAATGGATCTTGAGTAGGCAGCTTGCAGACATATCAGTGTACAGACAGATCTTCAAGCACTTTATCAACACAACAGCCCTGGACATTCAATTTTGGCGCAATGGCATTGGTTAACGATATCGAAATGGGAATCTATTTCCAGAGCAGCCTGCTCTGCACCTTGTACTTCCAGAGGCTGGACGCTGCCCTGAGCTTCGAAATAGGTTTAGCACACTTATGTCGCCAATTCAAAACAGGATTGCATCCTGTTGAAGTGCTTTTGCTGGCAAGGCTCCCATGAACGTCCGATGTGTCATTTGGACACCCATCCTGGGTGCTGCGGGAAAAACGTGGAATTGACGCCATCATTCGTTTCCAATACGTGTCTACAGATCCCTGCAGAAGGAAACACAACCGGGTGATGCCGATTCCTTACACTTGGCGATGCGATTGAAATGAACTGACAGTCTGTATTTCATCAGCACTCATTGTTCGAACAAGATGTTGCCAGGCCCCACCAACAGAACGAATACTGCAAGAGCAAGGCCTATTCCAATAAGGCACAGAGAGCCAAGGCAGATAATTACACTTACAGACGCTTTGGATCGATGCCTGGGACCCTCGTCAGGAGACCTGGAGCACATGCATGTTGTGTCAATGTATATCAGCACCAATGCTGTAGCCACTGAAAATGCAATGCATTTGCATATCTTTTGCCACAAGCTCATACAGCACTGCTTTTGGCTTGTGGCAGCCTGCGCTGGCTGAAAATATCTCCATAAACACAGTTCAGAGAGAGAGAGAGTGACATGGATCCTGTTCAACACATTTGTAACACCATCACAAAAGTTTAGGAGATTGGCACTCTTTGAATATGGATCAATTTCAGTCAGTATTCGGGTGGTGATGAGTTCAAAACTGGGGGAGACACGTGACTTTAGTCAAGCTCTGATCTGCACTGACACAGGGAAGCTCGTTCATTGCATTTCACTCCAGTTTCAGGGGTCGGCCACGCCTGCCAAAGGGCATTCAAAAATCTCCTACAATTGTATTTTACAAGGTACCTACCTCTCCCTATGAACACGGCTGTCCTCCAGTAAGTTCCCTGGAATACCACAAATCGCAGATCAAGAAGGCATCATGCATCAAGATATAGACTATATCCACTATGCTGCATAAGTAGTATACAGCATATGTTGCAATTTTGCACAGTGTACCAAAAACAATCAAATCATAAAGAACCATGCAAGTACACATCAATCAAGCACCATTCAGGCAGACCGTGCACAACTTTTTGCCAGTGTTCTGCACAGTGTTGTGCAGTCAATGCAGATTCCAATGACCGCCACAGTTTCCACCTGATTCTTCCCTTTCCTTCTGTGAGCCAAACAAGCCACCACCATTGCATCTCTCCCTGTCTCTTCTGTGCCTTTGTCGAATGAAGCTCTCCAAAGGATCTTCCGCCACAACGCCCCCCACCTCTTCCTGGATCACGCCAGCTGCGTCTCCCTTCCCCGATTCTGTCTTTCTGCCCATGAAAACGTGAGAAGGGGAGGTTCCAGAGCCCTTGGTCCCGCCAGAGCAGCAATTCAAAACTGCGATGGCAACGTTTGACATGGCGGCAGTGATGGATTTGCAGGCCCCAACCTGAAACATGGCAAACAGCACACCTTGCACTGCTGTCAATGCTTGAGGCAAATGATGAAACCACTCATGAATGAAATGGCCACACAGGTCCAAACTTCAAGCAAAGAGGTGTTGCAAAGTTTCGTGAGCATGCATTTGTGGATAGTCTGTCGTTCTTTGGGTCGCATGGTATGCTTTGTCCATGCTGACAAATGCAATTGAACCATGAGATACACAATCCAGATAGTACTTGCGGTTGTCTGTGGCTCTCAACACAGAAACCACTGCAAGCTTGATGGATCATCTGAAAAATGGCATACAGAGATCGGAAAGGCTGACAGTACAGTCTTCAGGAAGAAAACTTGGTATTTAAGAGCATTTAGGCAAGACAATGGCACATTCATGCAGTACTTGACAAAAATCCTCACCAACGGGCTGCCTTCCAAGCGCCGTTTCTTGCTACTGCATTCCATTGACAAACGGATATCACTCTTCCTCTTCAAGCCCTTGTGCTCTTGGGCCAGTAATGTTTCTGAGCACACCCTGCTGTTGCTCCTGCTGAAGCTGTGCCCCTGTGTCGCCTGCACACCACCAACAGGTTACCATCCCTGAATGAGCACAACATTTCCCACCAAAAGGCTACCTTGCCAAGGCATACTAAAGTCCAAATCTCCCATTATGACATATCGGCAGCAGCTTTTAGACAAGCATTGTGTTACTACAACAGCATGTAACAGTGACTGAGCAGATTAGAAGCTTGTTTTGGCTTTTGGCACATGTGCTGTTCTTGCCAAGAACATATTGGTTACTTTTCTAGGTCAATCCACCCAACAGCATGTGCCAAAGTGACATGCTGCTTCCCAATGTGGCTACGGAGTCGCTGTGCTGAAAGTAATGCACAGATCACTGGTAGGGTATCTCAACACAGCAAATCTCAACAGTGCAGCTCTCAGCTTGCAACGAACAAGCAAGGACAGTCAGGTGCAGGCACTGCCAAGACTTCAAAACTGGCTTTTGGAATGGGCTGATGCATTGCAGCGATCAATATCGTCAATTGACACTGGCACAAGGGCCGTGGAAAACACTTATCGTTTCGCTATTCTCACACCATGGTTGGGGCATGAATGAAATTTTGCTGGATGGCACTGCACCCCGCATTGCCTTCAACATGCAGGGGTTTGGTTGTCACGTGTTTTTGGCGAATTTAGTCAATGCCATTCACACACCATGGTAGACCCAGCAGCATGCCTACTCCTGAAGGGTGCACAGCCCCAGGATCACCGCTGAATTTCTGAAGATGCACATGGATTTGATCACCAAAGGACAATTTATAAACCGGTCATCTTATGGGAATGATCGTGTACTCCTTGATCTGCATCCCCTGCAATTCAATTCCAACATCCCTCCCAATGGAACACAGAGGGCAACTGAATTGAAAGAGGTCCCAAAAGACCCCACTGCGATGCAAGAGCAGCGCGGGAGGATTGGGGAAGAACCAAGTCATGTACATTGCGATGGAAAGAATGACCTTGAATATTGTGGACACCATAGAGCTTTGCCAGGCTAGAACAAAGACATGTCACCCTTCAATGTTGAGCCCCTGTTGACTCTGAAGAGCAGCAGCTGGCTGTCCAACCTCTCCCCCAGACCAACGGCTATTTTTGCTTGGGTGCACTGAACAAACCTGGGGCCAAATACTGTCACATAGGCACAATGGCTGTGTTTTGTCAAGTCGCCGCGTCGCTCTGATGAATTGGTCAAAAGGGTTGCATAGGGAACCCCGTGCTGAGCTGAATCAACAAACGTTGGCTGACGTTGGCGTCAATCATCTTGCCTTGTGGGCATGAAGGGCTGCGCTGCACTATATTCTGCCAAATGTTATTCAAAACCATCTGACAAAGGACACCTCTTTTTGAATCGCTAATTCCACAATTTTCCAAGTTAACAAGATTGTGTAGGTCAATAGAAACTGTATTTAGTCACCGTTTAGTAAGCGCAGCGGACGTGCTTTGTCAATTTTGTGGCTGATGCAATCAAAAGGACAGGATGAGGAGCTTCTTGCAGGGGCCCGACGCCAGCAGATTTCGATCGTGCCCCACCTCGCGCACCTCTCCCAGCGCAACCGCCTCCAAGATTTTCTTCTTCCTCGCCTTCGGCCCCTGCACGCCCTGCAAATCTTTGGCTCAGCCATCGTCCCCCCACGATGAAACTGCCCCGCATCTGGCAATCCAACCCCCTTCCTTGGGGTCAATTTCTTACCAGCGCGTCCCGGCGCGGCAGCAACGTCCTTCGCTTTCCCGCGGCGCCGGCCCTCGTCCGTGTCCACCCGTCGCCCATGGTGGCGATCGGCCCGCCGGGATCGAATCAAAAGGCCGCCATGCGCCCAGCGTCGGGAGCCAGCGTCTGCCGGACGCCCGCAGCGCCCCGAGGGGTATGATGTGGCCGGCCAGCGGAATTTCGGCGGAGTGGGGGCGGTGGCGTCCGAGGTTGTGGTTGTCTGGGTGGTGGTTGGTGGGTGGCCGTTCGCATTTCTGGCAACGCCCGCTCAAAACGCCACAGAAAAAAGGCATCGAATTAAACGCAGAGGCCCCAAAAAGAAATATTCGCCCCAATGGACTGAAGATTCATCCAATCACCAAATTCAGTGGAGTCTCATCAACATTTCCACAAGCTTCTAAGCTAACGCACAGGTCCTGGCTGCCTGCATCGGGAAACCCGGACACCATTCTCATGCCGTCCCCGTGGCAGACTGTCGTGATCCCAAGTTTGGGTCTTCACCGCGCTGGACACACCGATGTGACTGTTGCTCACCGTGCGCTGCAAGCGGGTTTGGAGTCGGCTGTCGATCACCCGCGATGTTGTGACATCACAGCAGCTGCAGTGCCTCATGGGCACCGCCACTCGGTCAGATTGGGCAACAGAACTCCATCACACAAACATGCGACATAATTGGAACACACCCCCTTAAGTTGGGGTTCATCGATAAAACATCTCAGCTACATTTCATTAACCCACCATCATCTACATGCCTCCGCCCCCCTCCCCCCTCCCCGGGTGCACAGAACCTATTCGACTTGTCGTTTTCCAACTGTTTCCAAGCAGTAAGCATTTGGCAATCCGCCGCCGCGCACGTGCGCATAACTCCAACCAGTCAGCAATGCGATTTTGAAACATTTAGGCGTTGAAGAATGCCATTTCCAGGACGTCAAAATCATCTTGTTTTCCAGATGCCACTGCATCAATATATCCCTATGCTCCCAAGTTCCCAACGCGCCAGCGGTGGTGCCTCTGACAGCGTGGCATCCCAACCATCCGCCTACCTGCCCACAGGTGCGTGACGCTTTCTTCTGGGCGTTCCATGGGGCTCCGACAACAATCTGACGTGTGCCCTGCACCGGGCAGGCGAACGCCAGAGCCAGCGGCATCGGACGGGCGCTGCCAGGTGTCGGAGTGTATCGGCAGAGTGTCGGAGCCTTGGGATGGTCGTCGGTGAAGGTCTTTTATGCACTAGTAAAAAAAGGCCCAAATAAAACTTTTGCGAGCGCACATAAAGCACATTTCATCAAAGTTCTGCATGCTAAGAACACAAAAATAACACAAACCCGTAAACTTGGTACACGTTTGAACACGTGTTATTTGGCCCTTTTTTCCTAGTGATGGGCTCTTCCTTGAGATGTGCTGGTCGCGGCTTGGATCGGGCTGGAGTCCCTTGCTCGGGTGGTGATCGCTGGAAGCTGTCACCCGAAGTTCTCAACAGGCGGCTGTGGTGAATTCCATCTGAATGTCCTGCATCGGTGGCCGTGTCGACCAGGTTAGAGTCCCGTGCTGCTGACTTGATCCCTGGAAGCCGAGGCCTGCGGATCTCAACAGGTGAGTGTCTGAACGCCCGTGGCCGTGAAGAGGCAGTGGTCGCTGCATGGGCCTGACCTGCGTCTGTATTCTCCTGAGCCCGTTCAGTGGATACGCTTGCCATAAATCTCTTGAGAGAAGGACACATGGGAAGATGTTGTGCGTGCGATGCATTTGGACTGGAATGGTGACCACTTCCAGACAAGGTGTTTGTTAGCAACCTCTGGGCGTTGCAATAGTCGTGTGATATGATACTGCATATCATGCACGGAACAGTGCATCGTGGGTAATACGCAATGTGAAACAGCAGTAGAAACTTCCATGTGCACAATGCATTCATGTGGAAGGCAGTGGTCTGTGTGCCCCCAAGGCTTCCGTTACTTTTGTTTTGCATTCGTCATGAACCCCAGCTGTAACTATCAGATTGATAGTGATAGAATGTCCTTGTCCTTTGTGTCATCAATTCTGTGGTGTTGTGACAGGCCAGCCGCAATGCACAGCATCGCTATTAGTGAGGGCAAGACAGGCCCCAATATCGGTTTCTTGTTGTGGTGCTAAATTTTGAAGGGAACAAGTTCCGCAGGCTCTCTGCTATAGTGACCTGCTCATGGCACCAAGGACACAAGCTGGAATGGTGTTACATTGTGCGGTGTTCCATTGGCAAACACCCACCGTTTTCGGGAGAATGCCTGCACTGTGACGCAGCTATATAGATATGGAGCCCACCAATTGTCAATTTCGTTTGAACAGCTGAATTTAGATGGCACATAAGTTGCTGCGTTATCATAATAGACAGGTTGCAATTGTTGATGGTTTGAATGTTGGCTTGGATATTCATGAATATGGAAGCATGGCAACATGTGCAGAATTGGTACTTGTTTATTGAAATTGTTCTGGAAGTTGTTGGGTGACAATAATCCCCACTTGGTGGCATCTTACACAGTTCCTTGAGATTTTGCAAGGGTGTAAACCTCCAAGACGTTGTGCAAGATGGCACGAAATGGGGATTGCTACTATCCGACAGCCCCGAGGGCTATCATGACTTCGTGAGTTCGCAGGTTTGAAGGCTTTGGCTTGATTAGATGTAAACAGCCATGTGGACAGCCAACGTCTGTATCAACCTTCAGAAAGCACAGGTCGGGACATGCTGGAAAAGCAAGATTGCAGGATACGCTTGTATGAACCACTGCCAACATTACTCTCTCAATATATGTGTAAGTCGCTTTAATTGGCACAACTTGGGGGTATGACTTTCACTGCTCAAGCAAGATACCAGATCATCTGCCATACAGACGCTCAGAACTTCACACACGCACCACATGTTCCATTGCTGAGCATGGCGAGTTTCACGTCAAAAGCACCCTTGTTTGCCCAATGTGGCCTGCATTGTGGTTCGCTCAGACCACCGTATTCTTGCCCTTGTTGTACACCGTGTCGCCCGCTAGAATAGGCACATCTCAAACACGTCTCTATACCAATTTGCACGATGGCACCAATTTCTAATGACAAAGCATGCATGGCGTGGCTGCACATCCAAAAACATCGACTTTGGCTTTCTGTTGGCTGGCATCGATAAAACTTTATCGATATATTTTATGTTTTGAAAGCTTTAGAGCTTTTTCGGGAGTGCATTCGGCCTTGCGCCGGGGGCATGGCCGATGCCATCAGACTGAAGCGAGCAACCACTGCCCACCATGAACGAGCAGTCTTTGGCTGGTGGTGTCTCTGCTGGTGTGCAGGCGGCACTTACTGCAAACTTGCGCCCCTGCCCAGCGTTGTGCGCTCAGCGCAACACAGGCAGCGCTGGCAGTGAATTGGCGGCCGAGCTGCAGCTTGTTCGCGTCGTTTCGCATGGAACTTAAGGACTGGGAGTTCATTTTCTGCAGGGCCATGACGATCATCATTGCCCACGAATGTTGAATTCCACAGTATGATCAAAGAGCTTTTCCTCGTCGCCCTACCAGCTCAGATGCGGCCAATTGCCACGACCTCGCAAGCCCATGAGATCAATTGTGCCTGCCCATGATAGCAAACAGGCCACCTGAGAGGCCCCTGACTAACGCCGAGCTCTACCGACTCCCCGCAGAAGCCAAAGCTGTGACCTGCACAGGGGACACTCTACATGTGTGCGCCAGCAGTACGCCGAAGCCACCAAAGCGCTGACGTGAAGCCCCCTCCCGCAGATATCGCGTTGAATTTCACCCCCATGGCCATGGTTCGCGCCGATTTGCATGGCACGAGGCGCAGCCAACAGGCCAACCCTATCAATCGGTGGCGCCCACGGAGGACTTTGACCGCCCCGGCCAATTGACTCGCGTGTGCAAGCGGTCAACTCGCGGAAACCTCAGTCCACCATGCAGGGGCTCTTGCGCCGCCGATGGCTCCCTCCCTTGTCCGCCGCGTGGCTCGCCCTCTTGGCCCTCCGGCTGGCTGCGAGCGACCAGGCCGCGGACGTGGTGAGGGCTGCGGCTTGAATTTGTTCAAGCCGGCGGCATTTTTTCTGGCGCCGGAGCAGCGGCGCGGTTTCGAACGCCTTCACGGAGGGTCCCCCTCGAGGCGATTGCCCTCGCCGCTGGGCTGTGCGTCCTTGAGAGTGCCGCCGTGGCGCCGCAAGATACCGGAGCCGCGTTCCCAATCGGTCATACAGGTCGAAACCCGAAAGGTTGCCATGTCGTCTGTCGAGGGAGAAGGGCGGGGCGATCCGAGCCAGGGTTGTGGCTGCTTGTGCGGGCGGGCAGAGCGCCACCAGGGCCATCGATGATAGGGCCAGATGCGCCGTTGGTTTCACGGCCGGGGCGCGGGGTCTGCGCGTTGCGGCAATCTGAATGGCTCTATTTGCTTTGCAATGTGCGACAGAACAAACAAAGGAGGGTGTTGTGGACTCGATGGTCAACATATTTTTTCCCTTGGGATCCCGTGGAGCATCTGGAGAAAAGACGGCCATGACGCGGCCTCTTTTTGGGATTGGCACAAAAACATTGTTTAATGGGAACGATCGCGTGCAATTCAATCGTATGCATTTCTGCATTCGTCAAGGCTTGTCGCACTCTGAGGTTCGCTGTCTTGGCTACGTGCGACTGGGCTACACACCGATGTGCCAAAGAGTAGGAAGCGGGAATTTGTGGAAAAAGTGGATGGCTGATGGTATCCTGTAATGTTGGATTCAAAGAATGCTTCAGAATGCATGTTAAATATATCAAGAAGTAGTTATGAACGGGCGATTGCAAATGTAACGAGAGGAGATAGTGCAATGTGCAATGCCGACTTAGCGCTGACCTGTGTATCACAGGGGCTTTGGAATGGAGCACGGAAGGGATCCCTTCCTGAGGTCAAGAAATATCTGAGCCAAGACGCGGACCCCAATTTCTATTGGACGGACAGTGGTGACGCCGACTGTGATTCCAGTGACGAAATCTGTGGAACGTCGGTTCTGGCCGCTGTTTTTGGCAACAAGGCTGTGGTGCTTCAGAGCCTGGTCGACGCTGGCGCCGATGTCAATTTCTTGAACGGCACAATGGCAGAAGGATTCTGTGAAATCGACTCCTTCGATTACGGCACTGTGGCACCCCTGTACGTTGCCGCAATAAAAAATAACTCCTTTGCCGTGGAAGTGCTTCTGGAGGCAGATGCGCAACCCGACATTCCCTGCGGTGGTGGCGTGTTCTCACCCCTGGTCATAGCTGCCTCTCGAGGGACCAAGGCCGTGCTCGACCTGCTGCTGGCCGCCCAGCCTGATGTTGATACTGTGGATGAAGGCGGCGCTGGAGACACAGCCCTCCACGGGGCCTTGAAGCGAGTAGCGGTGTTCGAGGAGCAAAACGAGTTTGTCGAGGCCCTGCTGGCGGCCAACGCCTGCGCCAACATTCCAAACTTGTTGCACGGGGACACTGCTGTGCACACGGCGGCAAGGAGTGGGAACCTTCGCGCGGTAGAACTACTAATGGGGGCTGAGGGGGATCCCATGCAGCGAAACAATGCAGGTTTGACTCCAGGGGATGTCGTTTGCATTTCTATCAAGACTGGTGAAGTGGTGGAGGGGTGCGACGGCGACAAAGTCAAGGCGCTTCTGGAATCTCAGATGGTGGGTTAAATGCTGGATGAGCTGGGCTGACGTACACGGAAGAGGGCAGCTTTACATTGTGTCAAGCGTCGTACTGCATGCCTCCACTTAGGGAAATTGTTCTGCCTGTGCATTATCCTAATTTCAGGGCAAGCATTTGGCAGATGGAATCGGCAGCATGTATGCTGCGACAGAGCTAAGCAAATGTTCGAACTTATGGTGGCAATTACCAGTGAGAAACTCTATTCTTGCACTGAAAACTGTGATATCGTTTGACACTAATGGGTGCCATCACAGCTGAATACATACCATCGCAACCACTCTGACGATGCCTGCTAGTGTCGAAACGGCACCGCATTTGGCATCGCAAACATTGCTTTTCTGCCAGTGAATGTGATTTGTTGTGTCATGCTTCAGTTGCTCAATACTTCTTGCTGCTGAAAGGAAGAAATGTTTGAAATATTGCTGCTCTGCAGCTTTTGCTAAAGAGACGACTGTAAATAGAACAATTCACATGTGGCACAGTGCAGACACATTGAGGCTATGATGACAGATAAGGTCCACATGTAGTTTCCCAATGGAGTCTCAATGGGTCTTCCGTTGAGGATCCTCACTCTCCATCCTCAGAACTAGTGATCAATGCATCATGTTGGATTCCACTTCACTGCAGCAAACTTAAGGGTTTCTCACTGCAAACTATTGCACCGCTTAAACCGTGTCTTTGGACTTCAGAAATTTGAGAATTTGTGCAAGGGAGGGAATGACTGCAATATTGAGCAATGAATTATATGGTCACAGCGAAATGGAGTCAGAAACTCAGAAAGGAAGTTTCCCTGGGACATACCAGCTATTGTTTCTGCTTGCACGATATTGAATTATGAATTCGACACCCACGTGGCAATTCGATGCACATCAGTGTACGTACATCCGTACGGATATCCCTGCAGATGCCCTAAAGGTAATTTTTGGTATTTAAACGTAGGACGACAGTAGTCATGCCTGATATACAATTTTGATGGTGTGTCAACAATCCAGGGCGAGAAGCCGCCTCCAGCTCTTGAGAGAATAAGGAAACGTTTTGAAGGAAACAAAAAGAAAGGCCCACGGTGTCCAAGCTAAGAGTGCAGATGTCAATCGTTGCATGATGGCTGATGGGCAACAAACCAAGGACACCACATCCTGATTCCCGCGCCTTGTTGCATGAGCGTTCTATTGCGCTTTGCCTGTCTTGTTTCCTTTGCATTGCTGGACTGTGACAGCCGCCACTGACTGCAGCAGGGCGAACAAGCAGACCCCCCTGCAATGGTGGACTGTGAGAATCCCAGAGATGCCGAAGATAAGCTACGATGTGCCCTTCAAGGTGGCGCGGATGGCACAACGCAGGGGTGAATGCTTGAATCGCGAATTTTTGCACGCTGCCGGGGAGGGA